TAAAAATTACACAATATTTACATACTATACAACAAGCTTAAACGCCACACAACCCACCACCCAATACCCACCAATTCGTCTTATAGCCCTCAACCCACCATTTTTGTTTGTCTTCATTTCCTAAATAAAACAAAACATACATTAACAAAAAGCAACATACCTATGTTTTTTTTTTTTTCCTCTTTTTTTTTTTTTTCACTTTATAATTAGAAACACCCAAATTACAAATTCTACCCACCACCCATCTTCCTATGCACACCATTTTTTCCATTTTTTTGTCTTCCAAAACCCTTCCGCATCCAACTCACCTTTTCTTCTTACATCCAATAAATAATACAAATACAATCTCCCTCTAATCATTCGCAAACATCCATCAACTCCTATACTTTCATTCTTAAATACTAACAAATTCCTCACATCCCATAATACTTCTTTCACACAACACATCAACCATAACATTCTCTCTCTTTCTTTATCAATCTTACACACTCCATATAATAAGACTTCAAACGTAAAAACTTGTACACCAGTCAAACAAACATCTTCAACAATTTCTTCAAAACATCCCTCACAAAACAACAATTCCAAAACATATGAACCACATTTTCACAACATCCACACCCAACCCTTGGACATTTTTCAACTCTCGCTAAACTCCTTCCATGTAAAAATTCTCTCGTCGGTAAAACATTATGTACTGCCATCCACGCTACATCTCTTTGTCTATTTACCACATCAATACCATTCATCCTTTTCCAAACTTCTTTGCTCTGCTCCATACTCAATCCAACAATTCCCAGCATTTCTTCTTTACATCGTATTAATTTAAAAACTCTTTTTGTCTCACACCATTCATCTCTTGACACATTCACTAAATCATACTTTTTCACACATACTTCTATCTTTCTGTAAAACCAAGGTATATTAAAACAATAAGGTTTCATCCGATCTAATTCATGCAAACCAAACTTCCTCAGAATCATTCCAGCCTCATATTTCAACATACATCCCATCATGTTTTCTTGTAAACTAGTTTTCACACACAACCTAACATAATGCACCAACAAAAATTGCTCCAAATCAGGCATCCCCATACCTCCATTCTCTCTCTTTTTCATAACTTTTTCTCTACACAATCTCTCCATCCTACCACCCCAAAAAAACAAAAACATAATCCTAACTAACTTCCGTAATCTTTTATGATCTACAGGAAAAATAAAATTAAGATACAACATAATAGGAATTAAAACTGCTTTGATAATTAAAATTTTTCCCTCCATTGATAAAATCCTTTCATTCCAAAATCCAATTTTCTGATTCACTCTATTCACAACCTTTACCCAACTCTGTTTTCCTTTTAATTCTTCATCAAAAGTCACACCTAATACTTCAATCCCATCCGTCACCACAGGCCATCCACACAATTCAATCTCTCTCCATTCACCAAAGGCCTTACATGCACATTTATCCCAATTTACTTTAAAACCACTCGCTAAACAAAACAAATCAACTAATAGTTTTATCCTTCTTAAACCTGCTTGAGTTTTGCAAACCACAGTCACGTCATCCATATAACCCAACACTTTCAAATTTCCACACCTCTCACCAATTTATCTTTCCTTATACTCTTCAATAATGGTTCTATCACACAAATAAAAAGAATCGGGGACAGGGGGCACCCCTGTCTCACCCCGGAGCATACTTTAAAAACATCAGTCAACCAACCATTCACTTGTACAACACTACTGATATTTACATACATACATCTTATCCAATTTAATAATTTACTAGGTACACCCATTCTATCTAACACTTTAAACATAAAATCATGCGCTACCCTATCATATGCCTTCTCAAAGTCGATAGTCGCAACCGCTACTTCTTGCTTTCTTTCCATACAATCCCACAACACATCTCTCAAACATATCAAGCTCTCTGCAATTTGTCTCCCAGGTACTGCACATACTTGCTCCTCACCAACCATATCTCCAATCACATCTTTCATTCTGTTTGCAATTACTTTGGCTAAAATTTTATAATCTGTGTTCAACAAAGTTATAGGTCTCCAATTTTTCAAATCTTGTTTATCACCTTTTTTAAAAATTAAAACAATCACACCTCTCTTCATTGATTCAGTCAATTCACCCATATATAAAACCATTTTACATACATCCAGAAAATCATTTCCAATCGCCTCCCAAAACAACCTATAAAATTCAATTGGCAATCCATCACATCCAGGCGTTTTATTCAATTTAAAATTATCAATCGTACTACGTAATTCATTCTTATCTATCTCTCTTGTCAAACTATATTCATCCTCATTCCTTACACCTCTCTCAACTTTTTCCAACAAATCATTCTCCAACTTCACATCTCTTTCCCTGTCAGTATATAACTTTTCATAAAAACCTTTAACTTCATTCAACATTAAATCTTTTCCTGTTAACAAAACCCCATCCTCATTCAAAATACCATCCATACTTTGCTTTCCTTTATACACCTTTTTGAAAAAAAACCTCGTACACTTTTCATCTTTATCAAAAACATTCATCCTGGCAGCAAATACAATCTTCCGTCCTTTTTCATCCAAGCACTTCTTCCTTTCTTCCCTTGCTATCTCTAACTCCTCATTCACTTCCCACCCCAACTCTCTCAATTTACACAAATAGTCAATCCTTTTCCTAATATCATCAAAACATTCTCTCTCTCTCTTAGCTTTCACTCTGCTTTTACGAATAAAAAATTCCTTTGTTTTTTCTTTCACCCATTCCCACCAATCAAGTATACATGCAAACTGATTTTTACATTCTCTCCACCTTTTATACATCACTAAATAATTATCTTTTATTTCTTCATCTTCTAACATACTCACATTCATCTTCCAGCAGCCTTTTCCAAACTCCATGCGCACCTCCATACAAACTTTACCTTCCAACATCACATGATCGGAAAATTGAACTTTGTGCATAAGAAGACATTCTACCATGACACCCTGTGAAACAAAACAATAATCAATTCGTGATTTAACAGTCCCCTTATCACTAAAATACGTATACACCTCATTATCTCCTGTGACTTTCACCATATCAATATAATCAAAATCCCTAATCAAATTACCCAACATCCTACCTGATTTGTCTAATTTATATTCATCACTCTTACCCACCCTGTCCTCCCTCCGTATAATACAATTAAAATCCCCTATAAGAAAAGTAAACTCCCTTCCCGGCAAATACACACTCAGACACTCAAACACATCCAATCTTTCATTTCTATTAACCGGTGCATATATATTAAAAATCCTAAACCTCGTGCCCCTAAACAAAACATTCACCAATAAAACCCTCCCTGACACTATTTCAACTACATTAATTACTTTAAATTCCCAACCCCTAAATAGAATTGCTACACCTAAATTTTTCCCATCACCACAAGAAAAAATGATTGGTCCTAAATTCCAGGAATATGACTGTGGGGTCTCCTTCAAACCACATTCCTGAAGGCAACAAAATGAGAAATTAAAACTTTAAATACTCAAAGATCAATGCTCTCCTATTTGCTGAACAAATACTTCTCACGTTTAGTGAGCAGAAATTCAACATAAATCAGAGGAGAAAAAACCTCATCACTATTCACGTGCCGCTGTCCGTATCAACAAATTTCTCGGAGCTTTGTGAAAACCCCGAAATGTCAGCCAGTCTCGACACGTCTCTTGTATCAAATAAAGGCACTGCAGAACTGGAAGTGTCACCCTCAGAGCCAGACACTCTTCCTGGGGACACCTCCCTCAGCACCTTCTGCAGTTCCTTAGACAGCTTACGGCTCCTCCTACGCACTTTTTTTGCTAGATGAACAGTTTTTTCCTGTCCCTCATTTTCGGAATCTACAGTCGAAGGACCAGCCACCACTTTTTCCACCTCCATTGACTCACCTTCGACCGTATTCTCCGTAACTAGAGCCGCCTCTTCACTGGCTTTCTTTTTTGCCAGATCCTCGGCCATAATCCGAGCATGACGAGCTTCATGCTCCTCTCTCGATCTCAAACCAGTGCCAAACGTAGGAATGAACGGAATCAAAACTTTTTTGCCAGCTACTTTCATTTCCTCAGTTTCACCCACCACCGTGCTCTCAGAAACCTTCACCCATGAAAAATCGTGCTGTACATTTGGACATAATCTGGCCATATGCCTCTCAGAACCACACAGGTCACAACGCTTCCTTTCAGCACATTCTGACGCTGTGTGGCCTTCACTGAAGCAATTCCTACAACACTGGCCCTTTTCGCATTCGTCACTAGTATGTCCAAATTGAAAACAATTTCGGCAGTACCTGGGCTGTCCGGGATAAAATAGGTAACCCCTATTACCTCCGATTGAGAAGTTCTGGGGCGGGTGCATTAACCCATTTATACCGGTTGCATCTGCCTTTAAGACAACAAAGAACTTACGTTTCCCATTGTACACACCGAACATGTTCACTTGCTTGAAGGGCTTGGAGACAGATGAACAATACCGACTCAGGAAAGCCGCAATTTCTTCGTCACTGACAAAAGGGTTGAACATATGTACAATTAATGGCAGTCTAGACAAAGAAACGTATGGTACAAAAGTTATACCTTCCAGCAAGAAATCTGTCGCCTTCTGCCTTTCACGTTCCATCACCGTAGTTAACTGGTCCTGGGTCATAAACGTGATGTCTTACATTCCTCTCGCCGGGAAGTC